ACCCTCTAATCTAAGATTCTGTAACATATATGATGTATTTAATATGATTATCATGATTTTTATTTTATTAAGTTAAGAAATAATTTAGAATTGCATTAAAATACAAATTAGAAATAATTCTATTTTAATATATTTAGTTTCCCTATTCAAGCCTACGCATCACTTATTCAGAATTTTATACACTGACATCATGTGGTTTTCCTTAGGCATGCCCTAGACATTGAAAAGTCATTTCTCAGTTTGTGTGATGGTGATTTTACTACATAATTACGTCTTTACTTCTTACGGTGACCTAGACACATTACTAAACATCTTTCTACCAGCATTTTTAGTTAGCTGTCACAATATTCCTAGTTCATAAATAAGATCATTTTACTTGTTGCTACTTATAAAAAAATTAAGAATTTGCATGAAGTTATTTACAGAGACCAAAAACTAGTAAGGGTTAGAAACAGAATTTTAATCCACATCTAATTCCAAAGCTTCTACTATCTCATCAACAATTATAAACTTAATTCTGAGATTAAAACATGCAATTTACATAGAAAATGTTCATAATTTAATTTTTACAACATTTGAGAAGACGTGTTAAAATTTATCAAACATCTTTTCAATGTTTATTGACACGATAACATTCTTTAGAAAATTTGTCGTATATGGGGGTGAGTGTGCGCTCACACTAAAACGTGTGTTGAGTGACAAGACATTTTGAGAGTCAGTTCTCTCTTTCCAACTTGATTTGTGACAGGTCTCTTCTGCAGTTTGTATTGCTGCCTTGTGTACCACAGGCTAGCTGGTCCATGACCTTCTCACCTATACTCCTGCATACAGCTCCTGTTTCACCATAAGAATGATTAGGTTACAGATGCCACTAGTGAATGCAGCTTTTCATGGGGCCTGGTGATTGAACTCAGGTCATCAGGTTTTCAAGGCACGTTCTTTTATCTGCTTAACAATCTCCCAGGCTCAAATCATCTTTTATTTGGTTTGTAAGTATAAATTCTATTCCACTGGTAGGGTGTTGAAGACACACACACACAAAAATAAACAAAAAAAGGTTTTTTTTTGTTTTAATGGAGCACTAAAATGCATTATAAAACTCATGGGTCCATATAGGGTATGGTGATTTATGAAGGATGATTTAGAATAGTGAATCTGCAAGAGGTAATATATTTATTTATTGTCTAATTAGAGCTTGTGGTGATTCTTTATGGTGTTCAGCAGGAAGTCTATTTTTGTTCTTGGCCAAGAATTATATTTTCCTGTTCTTTATTGCTAAATGTATCAATTCTACCTTACTTCATCTCTCCATTCTCAAGATAGAAGTGGTACTAGTTATTAATCACAAAATAATGGTGCTCCACAACTTGCTCATACTGAAAGTGTAGTTTCTTGAACCTATATTTAATGTCTTTTAAAGTTACTTATGATTCCACAGCATGCAGCCTGCTCCCCTCCCCCGAACACACTAGCCTTGCAAACTTGTCCTCCTGCTATATTGAGGACTTGCCTAAATGCCAGTTTTATCCAGAGTATATTAAAAAATGAAATGATAAGCCAATATACACACATGTTCAATTTACCTTTAATTTATTTGCTTCATAAATATAAAAAAACAAGATAAATGTGGAAAAACACACACTCCCATCATGTCTCAAAATGTGTTTTCTCCATGTCAATTGCATTCCTGGATCCTGCCCTTGTTATTGTTTGGACATGGTTTATATTCATCAAAAGCCATGTTAAAATCTGGTTGCCTGTGTAGCAGTAATGACAGGTAGGGCTTTTAAGAGAGATTGTCTGGTGAGAAGAAATTGCAGACCAGCTCCCTTGCTGCACATCTCCTTTCTGCTTGTCCTTCTTTCCTTCACTGTACTAGGCTGGAGCATGCATCCTTAACCGTAGATAGCCACTCAACTTTGAACTTTTCTGCCTCTAGGACTATGTCCTAAACAGTCTTCTCTATATAGGCCACCCAGATTTAGACATTCTTTTACAGCAACAAAAGGTAGAATAAGATAACACATCATCACCATCAGGAAGGGTCACTGAAATAGAAGACACCTCATATTCATGCAAGGTATAGCTGCCTCTTCCATCACATAACTTCACAGTAACAAAGGAGACTTCAAGGCCAAAGTATCAATTAGTGGCAACAGAGGGCCTCTATTAGAAGGGCGTCATAGCTCTGGACAATGATAGTCACTAAGTACTGAGAAGAGACAGTAATTCATAACCAGAAGGCTGTCTGATAGGAAGACGGGAATTTGTGGAGTTCGATTATCCTATCAAATTGCTTGTGAGCACAAACTATGGCAAAGAATACCTGTTACCACCTCAGCCATCTTTGGATCCTACAGCCTACCAGTGGCACCATCACAGTCATAACACAGATGTGA